TTTTGCTTTGATGTAATTATTCTCCCTTTTGTTATTTATAGTTTAGTGCGGAGGAAGCCGTTAGATACCAACTTGATGCATTGATGTTGAATGACCAACCCCGGCCTGATTATGGCATTGAAGTCATGTATAGGGTAATTTAACAATCTTCAATTTGGTGTTGATTGTTTAATGTTTTGATTAGAAGTTTTTTACTTGTCATATAGTCAACGTAATGTTACGCTGTAAAAGTTTGCAGGATTCGATCCTTTTGAAAGATCCACCTATTTTGGTCCCTTCTTTGATTTAGGTCAGGTCAGTGGAATGGTATTTTTTGATTCTTTATCATTATTTCTTGATTAACTCATGGTTTGTAATTCAGAAGGTGTTCTTAGTGGAGTATTCATTTTCAAGATGCATCTGTAATTCTGTATTTTGTAAATGTAAGTTGTATTCCTATTTGGTGACTGATTATGTGTCAGTTTGAAAGATTTCGGCGAATCTTTCATCACTCTAGCTACAGAGTTTTACTTGGTCATCGGGAAAGAAAGATCCTGAGCACTTTAAATGTTAAGGAGGTTAGTTGGTTCGACATTTTAGTATGACGCAATGCATTTTTTGTTTCCTCTTTTCTTTCTCTCATATATATCTACATATATATATTTTGTGTGTGTGTGTGAGAGAGAGTGAGTGAGTGTGGTTTTTTCTCATAGTGACCCTCATTTTGCGAACAGGATTGCTATAAGCAACGTGTGTGGGTAAGAGGGGCCAGACCTGAGGAAGAAGAAGTATTTCAGTTTACCATGATCCAGGTCTGTGTAATACAATAGCTCCTCGACTTTCAGTTCAAATCCAGTTCTTTCTTTTTTTTCTTTTTTTTTTCCTTCAGATATTTTTGTGAGGATATGAAGTCAATAGATGCTGAAATTGCTGTGAAATGAGTGTATTCAAGTCTCAGAAATTCGAAGTCTTACTTGTGATCATGTAGGCAGTAAATAACAATACCGAGAGTTTTTATTACGAAAATTGGAATGCGGTGCCTTTCTTTTCCGACGGTAATTAATTAATTAATTTTACTGTATTGTAGAGAGTTGGTGGTTCTTGGGATGGTTATTGGCTGACAGAATCAGTTCTTCATGATGGAGATAGCTTTTCCGGTGGAGTCGCCTACTGACATATGGAAGGCCATTTGTAAGTATCAGACTTGTTATAGGTAGCCTGTGGATGTGTATAATTCAAGAGTTACTATTAATAAATAGCTTGTATAATGTGGAAATAGTAATCAAAGTTGCAAAGATTACTAATTTGTACAGATTTGATAATTTCATTCACAATCCACACATTGGTATGTAGAAACTGAAATTGAACTAATGAAAAAAACAGTTGTTGTAGAAGAATAAGCTCTGTGAACTAATTAAAAAAAAAAAAAAAATATTGTTGTACATGAATAAGCTCTGTCCTCGGATTAGGGGTGAATGTCTTTTAAAGTGCTTCAACAAATCTGTCATTAAAGTGCAGAACCCGCAACATACACCAATCAAACAAAGGTGGTTACTAGTTGTCTACGAGTTTATGTTGGTAGTTTTTGTATAATGACTACATATTTTATATTTAATTATTTATTTATTTTGTTAATCTAAATAGTTTTATAATAATCATGTTCTAATTTAAGAATTAATATAAATAATATTATTTGAAATATATAATATTTGGATGTATTCTAATTTATTGGGCCAATACTATTTATTTGGTATAACCTATAAGCCTATTTGCAAAATAATTATGCTCAGTTCTAAAAGCCCAAAATTATTTTTATCATCAACTAAATCTTTCCATAAATTTAACCCATAAATTCATTCTCATATCACGGCCCTTCCCCTCCAGGTTGCTACGGATAAGTTGTTAATATTAAGGGACGATTGGCTACAAAATTATTCGATTTTTACTGATGGGATAATATTTTTATACTCTTTGGGCTTGTTTGGTTAATGGTTTTTTTTCCCATAAAATAGGGTTTTTGACAATTAGCTGCCTTCACTTTTTAGTAATATAAAAATTTTGATAAAAAATATTTGTCTTAATTAATAAAAAAATTAGTTCTAGTTTGAATTTTCAGTTATTAAGTTTATATTAATTTTAAAATTTAGTTTATATATACATATCATGTGCTATGGATAATAGATTGAATTTATTAATTACGAAAAATACTTGTAAAATATTCTTTAGAAAACGAGAGTATACTAATGGCATGATTGGTATGATGGAATGACATAGGAATGGAATGATCATTCCTTTACTCATTCCTTATCCCATGATTGTGTCATGAATTCTCAGGGAATTACCATTGAGGATGAAGAGGAAGTGAAGTCGATGAGTGAAGATGGAGAAATGGGAGATTTTCAGACAAGGGATCGGGTTTCGACTAAGGCAAAGAAAGGACTTCTGGCATCGACACGTGTAGTAACTGAGGCCGTGGATGTGAGTGGAAAAGGAGCAGATCAGGGCATACACGTGGCGACAGAATAGAGGGATATCTGAATTATGTATTTTCCATTTATTTTATTATGATGTTGGTTAGCTATGCATGTGAGAATGTAATTTACCCATGTGGGTAAAAATGTTGGTTAAGTACGGGAAATGAAGGAAAACAAGGCAGTTGGTTATGCCAAAATATTCTCTTCTCTCTCTCTCCTCGTTCTATCTCTCCTCTTCCCCATCTATCTCTCTTCTCCTTCTTCCTTCCCAAACTCTTCTCAAAAATTACAGAAAAATAAATAAAATTACATAAAACATATAATCCTAAGCTAGATCACTACAGATGGTATCAGAGCCAACCTTCCTTGGACATGGCTGAAGGAACGAGGCTAAAGGAGCTGCAAGAGGCCCAAAAAAGAATCGATCAGTCATTACAAAATGAAGCATTGAAAAGAGAGGCTACAGAGCTTAAACTTCAGGAAAAGATGGAATTCATTACCTCTAATATGAGAAGTGTGGTAGATGGCCTTCAGGTGGAACTAAAGGAGCAGAAAACAGAGGTAAACAGCAAGCTCGAGAATCTGGCAAACACATTAGCCTCCATTCAACTTCAGCTACTCAATACCAGCAAGGACAGATCAAGGACTGAGGATACCTCCATCCTAGGAAAAAATCCCAGACAACACTTTCACAGTGAGTATATCATTGGTCATCAACAGGAAATCAGCAGAAATAGAAACAGTGAACAACAAACACCACACTCACAGAACAACCAGTTCACTAGCCCTTTACCCAAAATTGATTTTCCCAGATTTGATGGCTCAAACCCTAGGGCATGGATACTTAAGTGCAATAGCTACTTCAGATTGGTTCCAAATGTCTCAGAATCACAGAAAGTCACCTTAGCCTCCATGCACTTAGAAGGGAAAGCATCTACATGGTTCCAGAATCTTAACACTAAGCATATGGACTGGGAATGGTCACAATTTGTGGAGCTGGTATCTGCAAGATTCGAGGAGCTCAAAGAGGTCAAAATTATAGCTGAGTTCAACAAGTTAAGACATACAGGGGCTTATGCAGATTACGTGGACAAATTTGAGGAATTAAGGTCCTGCATGTTACTTATGAGCCAGGGGGAATTCAGTGAAGAATATTTCATTGCCAGTTTCATTAGTGGCCTTAGTGAGGAATTACAAGCTTTTGTTCACATGTTTAACCCACAAACCCTACAGCAAACCATTGAGCTGGGACAGAAGCAACTACTAACCCTGGAAGCCATAACCAAGAAACTCAAAGGATATCAGAAACCCTACTCTCAGTCACCCCCTGCAAACACACTCAGAAACCAACACTCCACATACAGAACCCCACCCAATCCAAACCAAAGACCTCCTACTAAACTACTCACCACCTCTGAAATGGCAGCCAGAAGAGAAAAGGGACTGTGTTATAATTGTGATGAAAGGTTTGTGCCTGGCCATAGGTGTAGACAAAGAATTAATTACATGATTATGACTGAGGATGAGGAGTTGACATACCTGCATTCTGAGGATAGTGGAACAATGGGTGAAGACAACATGGATACTCTTATAGAGGAGGCACAAATTTCCTTAAATGCATTGGCTGGTGAAGCTGGTCTCACAACTCTGAGGTTCCATGGGTTTTATGGTGAACACAAGTTGCAAATTCTAGTGGATACTGGCAGTACCCTTAGCTTTATAAGGGAATCCACAGCACAGTTATTAGGGTGCAAACTACAATCAGCCAAACCTTTAATGGTGAAGGTAGCAAATGGGCAAAAACTCATGAGTAGTTACCAGGCTGCAGACTTCACCTGGGAGATGCAAGGGCAGCCCATGACATATTCCTTAAGAGTTCTGAAGAGTGAGGGTAGTGACCTAATCCTAGGTGGTGATTGGCTTAAATCTTGTACCCCTATTGAGCTGGATTATGAGGCTATGACTGTGACTATTAACACAAAAGGAAAGAGGCTCAGACTACAAGCATTGACATATGGGGCAGAGTGCAAACTTATTTCAGAGCACACTTTGTACAGCATGCTGAATTGTGAGGAGGCAAACCAGATAGAAGAAGTATATATCCTATCCATTGAGCCTTCTAGCAAGATTCAAGAAGGAGCACTGTCATTATTGCTAGAAGAATACCATGATGTGTTTCAGGAACCTCAAGGACTTCCTCCTGAAAGAGGGATTGAACACCAGATTCTACTCAAGCCAGATAGCTTACCCAAGCAACAATACCCCTACAGGGTGTCACATGATCAAAAGGATATCATTGAAGGGATTGTGGAGGAAATGTTGAAATCAGGCATTATTCAAAACAGTAAATCCCCATTTGCCTCACCAGTACTCCTAGTGAAGAAAAAGGATCAAACCTGGAGGTTATGCATTGATTACAGGTATCTCAATGGGTTAACTATTAAACATGAGTATCCAATACCTGTGATTGAAGAGTTACTTGATGAATTGCATGGTGCTACATGTTTTTCAAAAATTGACCTAAGGTCTGGCTACTTTCAAATTTTAATGAGGGAAGAGCATAGATACTTAACTGCATTCAGAACTCACAGTGGGCATTATGAGTTCCTAGTCATGCCATTCGGACTTTGCAATGCTCCAGCTACCTTTCAGTCCCTCATGAATCAAGTTTTCAAGGACAGCCTAAGGAAGTTCACTTTGGTCTTTTTTGATGACATTTTAGTTTACAGTAAATCAAAGGAAAATCATCTTCAGCACCTACAAGTTGTCCTACAGTTGTTAAGGGAAAATTCTCTTTTTGCCAAACAGAGTAAGTGCAGTTTTGGGGATGACAGGGTGGAGTATTTGGGACACATAATTTCTGCAGAAGGGGTCTCAACTGACCCTAAAAAAGTGGAGAGTATGATGAATTGGCCTACACCATCTACAGTGAAACAACTGAGAGGATTTTTGGGCTTAACTGGTTATTACAGAAGGTTTATAAAAGGGTATGGGGAGATCAGTAAGCCCCTTACTACTCTGTTAAAGAAGGATCAGTTCAAATGGGACAAGAGGGCTGATGAGGCTTTTGACAGTTTAAAGAGGGCTATGATGACAGCCCCAGTCCTATCACTACCTGATTTTTCACAACCCTTTACTCTAGAAACAGATGCCAGTGGTTATGGGATAGGTGCAGTACTGATGCAAGGAGGAAAGCCCATTGCCTATCTCAGCAAGGCACTTTGCCAGAAAAATCAGGCATTGTCAGTCTATGAGAAGGAATTTCTAGCTGTGTGGCTAGCAGTGCAAAAGTGGAGAGGTTATTTGCAGGGGCATAAATTTATCATCAGGACAGATCAACAATCCTTAAAATACCTTTTAGATCAGAAGGTGGCTTCTACATGGCAACAGAAGGGAATTATTAAACTGTTGGGTCTAGATTATGAGATTCAGTACAGAAAGGGGAAGGACAACAAGGCAGCAGATGCCCTTTCTAGGATCCAGATGGATTCAACTGGTTGTGCTGCCATCACCTCAATGGTGCCTAAATGGATGCAGGAAGTGGTTAATAGCTATGATGGGGACAAATTCCTTAAAGAACTCAGGGAAAAACTCTTGCTATCACCGGAAGCTGACCCACATTACCAAATACAAGGTGGAATTATCAGGTACAAAGGAAGGGTGTCTATAGGGGACAATGCAAAACTCAGGCAAGAATTGATCTCTGCAATGCATGAATCATCATATGGGGGACACTCTGGTATACAGGGAACTTACATGAGGTTGAAGAAGGTATTTCACTGGCCCAAAATGAAAATGGATGTGACCCACTTTGTGCATAAATGTGATATTTGCAGAACCAACAAGCCGGATCATGAACTTGCACCAGGGTTATTACAACCATTGCCTATACCTAATGAGGCATGGTCACATGTCTCAATGGACTTCATTGAGGGTTTGCCTAAATCAGGAGGTAAGGACACTATTTTGGTGGTGATAGACAGGCTGACTAAGTATGGGCACTTCCTAGCCCTCTCCCATCCCTATACAGCTTCAGTGGTGGCCAAAATTTTCATGGACAACATTTATAAACTCCATGGTCTACCAGCTTGTATTTTGACTGATAGAGATAAGATTTTTACTAGCTTGTTTTGGAAGGAGCTTTTCAAGATGATAGGCATTACCCTAAGTTTCTCTTCATCTTACCACCCACAGACGGATGGGCAGACAGAGAGACTCAATCAATGCCTTGAAAATTATCTCAGATGTATGGTTCATCAGTCACCCAAGAAATGGTATAACTGGCTAACTCTAGCTGAGCATTGGTATAACACTAACTATCATTCCAGCTTAAAGTCTACCCCTTTTGAGGCTCTCTATGGGTATTCTCCAACCTCCTTATCTATGAAGGCCTATTTGGACTCACAGAACTATGATGCTAAGGAATTCTTGCTACAAAGGCAAATGGTGATGAAAGGGCTAAAGGAAAACTTGCTAGTTGCTCAAAACAGGATGAAAGAATATGCTGATAAGTCAAGGACAGAGAGAGAGTTCGAAGTAGGAGATTGGGTTTACCTGAAATTGCAACCATATCGGCAGAACTCAGTGCAAATGAGGAAAAACCTTAAGCTCAGTTCTCGATTCTTTGGTCCCTACAAAGTCATAGAGAGGATAGGTAAGGTGGCTTATAAACTAGAGTTACCAGAAGGGTCGAGGGTACACCCGGTGTTTCATGTCTCATTGTTGAAGAAAAAAATGGGTGAGAAAGACTTATCTGTCAGTCAATTGCCACCGACCGGGGAAGATGGACTCTTCAAAGCCGAACCTGTCGAAGTGTTGGACCGCCGAGTGGTGCAGCGAGGACGAGAAGAAGTGCCGCAACTTCTGATAGCTTGGGGGGATAAAACCCTAGCAATCAGTTCGTGGGAAGATGAAAAATTCATTCTGAAGAAATTCAAGGGTTTTGATCCTTGGGGACAAGGATCTAAAAATGGGGGAAGATATGTCATGAATTCTCAGGGAATTACCATTGAGGATGAAGAGGAAGTGAAGTCGATGAGTGAAGATGGAGAAATGGGAGATTTTCAGACAAGGGATCGGGTTTCGACTAAGGCAAAGAAAGGACTTCTGGCATCGACACGTGTAGTAACTGAGGCCGTGGATGTGAGTGGAAAAGGAGCAGATCAGGGCATACACGTGGCGACAGAATAGAGGGATATCTGAATTATGTATTTTCCATTTATTTTATTATGATGTTGGTTAGCTATGCATGTGAGAATGTAATTTACCCATGTGGGTAAAAATGTTGGTTAAGTACGGGAAATGAAGGAAAACAAGGCAGTTGGTTATGCCAAAATATTCTCTTCTCTCTCTCTCCTCGTTCTATCTCTCCTCTTCCCCATCTATCTCTCTTCTCCTTCTTCCTTCCCAAACTCTTCTCAAAAATTACAGAAAAATAAATAAAATTACATAAAACATATAATCCTAAGCTAGATCACTACAGATTGGTATATTTTTTGGGAAGGAATGACCATTCCAATGGGAATGGCAAAACCCATCTCCATGGGATTAGCCATTCCATAGTAAATGGAGGGTTTTCTCATTCCCATGTGTGTAGGAATCAATTTTTCAAAAAATAAAATTAACAAACAATAATAAAAAATAAATATATAATATATATTATAAATCATGATTAAAATATATTAAATAAAATCATTTTAAACAAAAATTCAAATAAAAAAATTGAAAACTTACTTTTATTTATTTTTTAATTAGATATATTAAATACTTATATAAAAACAAAACTTAAAAAAGTATTTATATATAATTTAAAAATATATTTATTTATTTTTATATATTATTAAAAATATATTATTTTTTATATATTAAAAATATATTACTTTTAAAAATATATTATTAAAAATATATTATTTTTTATATATAAAAAATATATTACCTTTAAAAATATATTATTAAAAATATATTATTTAAAAATATTAAAAATATATTACTTTCTAAAATAAAATTCACATAAAAAATTGAAAACTTACTTTTATTTACTGTTTAATTAAAAAATAAAATATGTATTATTAAATAGATATTACTTTTTATTTTTAAATATTATTAAAAATATATTATTTTATATAAAAAATATATTACTTTTAAGAATATTTTATTTTTTATATAAAATTTAAAAATATATTATTTATTTTTATATATTATTAAAAATATATTATTTTTATATTATTAAACAATATATTATTCTATTTTTATATATTATTCAAACATGATTATATTTTAAAATACTTTAAGAATAAGAAAACAAGCTCTACATGCTTGAATTTTTTTTTTTTTTTTAAAAAAAATCCATTAATACTACCAACTAAATTTGTAAAATTTTTAAACATGGGTTATTATTGAACTATAAAAAGAGAATATTTCGTGAATAAACCAATACTTTTTTTATGCATGAATTATCGATTTGTAGTTTATTATATATCGTTCAAAATCGAATATAAAATAATAATGGGTTTAATTTGTGAATTTGTAAAATATATTGGTAGTATTGAAAAATTATAAAAGTTAATGAAAAAGAGAATATTCTGGGAATATCCTTTTGAGTTTGAGAATTAGTTTTGTCGGTTGGAGAAGAATTACTATTTGATGTGACAGTTACTGCAAAACGAGTTTGAGAATAAATTTTTCGGTTGGAGATGGTCTTACTCGTCATCACCTTCTTCTCTTCTACTTTGTCTGTTCCCGCTCTATGAGAATAAATTTTTCAGTTGGAAGAGTGATGGAAGGCTAATTGGCTATCTCTCTCCTTACTTTACTTTTCTGAAGTAAGAGACACCACTTGAAACAGTATCGTTTTAAGCATTTTTCAATTAGAAAAAAGAAAAAAAAATGACATAAGAACGACTTTTCTGACATTTAATAATTTATCACGTGTTGTTCAAATAAGGACACAGATTTACTTATTTGTTCAAATAATTTACTTAAGTGTTGCATAGAACTAAAGTATAAATGGATATTATTTAAAAGCACAGCATAAAATAATATAAAGTTTTTTCTAATATTTTTTTGTTACAGGTTTGAATTAAAATTTAAAAGTATTTGTTTATATCATACCATAGATTGATGAGTACATAGAAAACCACGTGTTGCCAACCTATAGGTGCGTGACTGCAGAATAATCCATTATTGTTATTTTCTGAAGTGAAGGACTAAACAAGTAATCGCACTTTTTAAATTGACAATTCAAGTTTGGAACCGTAATGATACGAGATGAAATCGATAAAAATCAAAACTAAAACGCGCACAATCATACACTCAGTTGTCATAAATGCAGAGGAAAGGGAAGGCGGTGGTAGTGGGCGGCAGCATAGCAGGCTTATCCTGCGCCCACGCGCTCATCGCCGCCGGCTGGGAGGTGGTGGTGCTCGAGAAAACAACCTCTCCTCCCACTGGTTGCGCCACCGGCGCCGGCCTCGGCCTCGACCCTCTCTCTCAGAAAATTATTCAATCCTGGCTCAAACAGCCCGAAATCCTCGACCTCAACACCTTGCCCCTCACAATTGATCAGGTAAATCAACCAACTTTATGGTAAAGGCTATACAATGCAAATAGGGGAAGTTGTAATTCCTATCGACTTTTAGATTAAGCACAAGGTCATTAAATGATGTAATTAGATATCCAATTGTATTCACTTTACCAAGTGAATTTCTCATGGGTTTAGTGAGACAATTGTGGTTTTCATTACCAAGTCTAATTTTCGGGGGTTTTAAATTTTGAAGTCCTATGCATGAGAAAAAAGGAAAGGAAAAGTNAAAAAAAAAAAAAATGCTCAGGGAGTAACGTCTCCTATATGATTATGGTTTAAAATGCAGACCAATTAAGTTGATTGCTGTAGTTCATATTATCATGTTTTGTTCAACATGCTAAAGTAATGTGATTCTGTTCTTATAATTTCATGCTTGGTATGTTGCTATGGTAAATGATTTTTGTTGGTAGCTAAAGCAAGTGTATTGATGGAAAGATTCATACTTCAGGTGATAAGTAAGATATTTCTGTCTGTTATTTTAATTCGTATTTTCAATTGTTCTTTAGAACCAAGTTACAGAACCAGATAAGAAGATCAACCGTGTGCTGACAAGAGACGAGGACTTCAATTTCCGAGCGGCATATTGGTCCGATCTGCATAGCCTTTTATACAGGGCATTGCCCCTGGACATCGTACGATGGGGGCATATGTTCGTCTCATATAGTTCTTCTGATGATAAAACATTGGTGAGAGTAAATAGTAAAACTCTCGAAACAGGTGTAGTTGAAGTTACTTGCGATTTGCTTGTTGCAGCTGATGGTTGTCTCTCTTCAGTACGTAGGATTTTATTCCCGGACCTTAAATTAAGGTTTGATTCTTTATTGATATTTTTTTGGTAGTTGAAACTTGGGATTTGACACCAAAAAAAAAAAAAATATATAATTGAGGAAATACACATGTTTTGTAGATACTCAGGTTATTGTGCATGGAGAGGGGTCCTCGATTGCTCGGGCAATGAAAATTCAGAAACCTTTGGAGGGCTTAAGAAGGCTTTCCCCGACCTCGGGAGGTGCATATATTTTCACTTGGGACCTAAAACTCACATTGTGTTTTATGAGCTGTTAAACAATAGGATCAACTGGATTTGGTATGTCAACCAAGTAGAGCCTCAACTTAAGGTATATATTGATACAAAGTGAGAAAACCTGGTAAATTGGAAATCGTTGAACAAATTAAAAAGAGAACTGTCTGATTAGAGGTACTGACACAAAGTTGTGACATTCAGGGAAACTCAGTAACAATGAAAGTGAGTGATGATATGGTGTGGCAGATGCAAAAAGAAGCCGAATGCTTCTGGCCACCCGAGCTCGTTAAACTGATACGCGAAACGAAAAATCCGTTCTTGAATGTTATATTTGATTCTAAGCCCCTTGACCAAATTGCTTGGGACAACGTTGTTTTAACTGGCGATGCAGCCCACCCAACGACACCTCACGGCTTGAGGAGCACCAACATGTCGATTCTCGATGCAGCTGTTTTAGGAACGTGTCTCGAGAAATGGGGCGTTGAGAATTTGAACTCGGCGCTCAGAGATTACGAGTCGACTCGCCTCCCGGTTGCCTCAGAGCAGGTTCTGTTTTCGCGGTGGCTTGGCAGAATTAAGCAGGGTTTGGCGGGCCTGGACAATGATGGTGTTGGGCCCTTCGACCCGATTGGAGTGGGCCCGGAGGAGTGTGCGGATCTACAGCAGAAAAATATGCCCTTTTTTGGAGATGTTCCTACTGTTCTGAGTGATGCGGTACAGTTGGAGGGAAAATAAGTGTGTTCGTTTCGAAGACTCGAACTGATGTCAATCGTGTTTGTTACATCTTATATTTTGCTTTAACTAGTGAAAACATTCAGTCATTCTCACCTTCAAAGGTGTATTTTGTAACTATGGAAACCTCTGAAGTTTATGTAATTTGTCCAAACCTCAGAGCATATATTCAGTTGCAGCAATTTAGTGTCATACAAAACATATGATCAGTCATGAAAGATCTATGTTCTCATAAATCCAGGATGAGCTTCAATTCTTCAGTGTTTTGCGCCCCTGGCATAAAATGCTGCTTGGCCTAAAAACAAAATCTTAAACATGACGACACAAAGTTAATTAAAGAAGCTAATTAATTTTGCCTGATGGCTGCTGAGGTCTTGGTTATCTGTAAAACAAGTGTCGTCAGCATGGAAAAACTGGGAGGAGATGTTTGACAAGCCATACTTGAAAAACTGGAAATATGCGGATAACCCAAAACGTCCATCTTACTACAAATCAGCTATTTGCCTCCTTCAAAACAAAACGTCCATCTTACTGAAAATGTATAAAAGAATTTAAAAAGTTTATCAAAGGAAACAACTTTACTAATCGGAAAATTCCATACAGCACAGATTATTGAAGTAAAACGTAGGAAGCTATTTCATTTGGGTCACTGTAGAATTCATGGCAATAGGCATGCAAAAAGACAAGATCAAATAATCCCATAATGAAACTAACATTCAAATTAAATCAAATGTCTGGAGGAGACTCCAATGACGAAAACAAAAACCCAAAAAGGGAAAGAGGAGAAGAAAAAAATAAAAAACAAAAAAACCATGTCCAGGCCGCATATGTTACAGTTGGCAAATACATTCTCTCTTAACATCTAGAGCAAGAAAATATCAAAATGACAACC